ACTCCGCTTTTCCATTTCCTAAATATAAAATACATTAATTATATAATATACAGTATATTTGCATATATATACACTTAAATATAAAGCATCGACTTATAATATTACACTTGTAATTGTGTGTATGTGTCTTTGTCTTTAAGTTGATGTCTATCTATTTATATAAATACATATATGTTTATATATATATATATATATATATATATATATATATATATATATATATATATATATATATATATATATATATACAGTTACGCACATATATATACATCTACAGTATATATCTTTGTATATGTACATATATGCATATATGTATATACATTTATGTACATATATGAATTTATGTATATACATACATGTATACCTGTACATAAACTTATATGTACATTTATATATATGCATATAAATGAATATACACACATGTATATATTTGTCTATATAAATATTCTGCGTATCTCTATATATTCCGCATATCTATATAGATACATAAAAGATGTGCACATACATAAGCACATACAAAAATACACATACATATACATGCATATATAAGTACATACACCTAAATAAATGCAAGCTGATGTACTTGCATACATATATATTTTCCTGTTCCTTGTCGTGGCAGCTACAGAGCGTGTATGCCGACCCTATGCAATATCAAAGTAATTAATATGCATTATAATTCTCAAAATTTATAATGCTTTTAGTCACGGGCATTTTCATTGTCATTAATGGCATTATCGCGTAGAAAATCTCCAATAATAAGAAACAGAAAAGTAATTTTAATATTTAAGAAATAAACAAGTCTGCTTTTTTTTTTATCAGAGAAATTCAAATGTAAATGTGAGTAAAAAGTAACAAGCATTGTACATCCTTCCTTATCTTTAGTTAAAATGTAATTTACTCTATATTTCAACCTGAAATGATGTCATTGAATCCAAAGTTACGTTAAAAGTGTGCTCTCCCCTTCAATGAATAAGTATTTCTTAATATTAGGCCTTCGAGATTGCATCGAGGAGGCTCATACTAATTGGGAAACCTAGGGATAAGGTATTTTTTTCAATCCAAAAGATAAAGGAGAGTATAAGTGTTTTATGTATTTTTAAAAGACATCAATTATTAAAAGTTGTATATATTATACACATATGTGCATATATATATTATATATATATATATATATAATATATATATATATATATATATATATATAATATATATATATATATATATAATATATACATATATGCAATCATATATATATATACATACATATACATATATACATACACTTACAAACACATACGCACACAACCATATATACATATATATGTAAAATATATAACATATATTTTATGAAACACTCACACACATATATATACACATAGGTAAATAATATAAATCCTTCTATTCATCTAAATACATTTATGTATTTAGACACATACAATATATATATATATATATCTATATATATCCTATATATATTATATATATATATATTATATATAATATTAATATATATATATATATATATATATATATATATATATATATATATATATATATATATATATATATATATATATATATATATATATATAATATATATATATATATATATAATATATATATATATATATATATATATATATATATATATATATATATATATATATATATATATATATATATATATATATAATATATATATATATATATATATATATATATATATATATATATACATATATATATACATATATACATACATATACATATATATATATATATATATATATATATATATATATATATATATATATATAATATAATATATAATTATAATGCGTGTGTGTGTGTGTGTGTGTGTGTGTGTGTGTGTGTGTGTGTGTGTGTGTGTGTATATACTATACATATACATATATATATATATATATACATATATATATATATATATATATATAATATATATATATATTATATATATACATACATATATATATATATATATATATATATATATATATATATATATATATATATATATATATATATATATATTATATACATATATAAATACTATATATATATATATATATATATATATATATATATAATATAATATACATTCATACATACATACATATATATAGTATATACATCTATACATCTATACATATGCACATTTATCTTTATATATTATATATATATTATATACTATATATATATATACATATATACATATATATTATATATTATATATATATATATATATATATATATATATATATATATATATATTCATATATACATCTATATATTTACATGTGTATATATGTACAAGAAACCTTGCTTTACTTGGAATAACCCGTATCTTGTGAATTCCCTTCGTCACCTTTAAAGAGACACCAAGCAAAACAAATTATCTGTTTTCTCTCACCGTAGATATTTTTGTCTCCCCTGGAGCGGTTCCATCATAGTGAGGGTCAAATCCCACCTATAAAAC